CACAGACGCACTAACACACGCACACACACACACACACACACACACACACACACACACACACACACACACACACACACACACACACACATACAGTACACACATTATACACACATATCACTTTGACGGAAGTTTTTTTAGTCGGGCGTCAGTAGGACGAATAAGAGGACACTTGCCTCAGCTTTCCAAACTTTACTTTGTTGACATATTCATACGTCATCGTGGGAAAACACTCACAGCAAACGGGACGCGAGATTAGACCAAAAACCCGCCTCAAAGAGCTGTAATCTCCGCGCCTTCGTATGATGTTGCTCATTAGCGCCGCCGCTCTTGTGGAGCTTAAAGTTTTAAGATGGAAAAAAATAAATAAATAACGGCAGCAATTAGTAGAAAGTACGATTTTTAAGGATCAATGGAGGCTTGTCGAAACAAGGTCACGACTTACATGCATCCGTGTAGTTCCTCCCTTCAGCCTGGAGATGGCGTCCTCGTGGCAGCCCTGCGGAGCTTGCAAGACTCACAAACTCATATTTCAGGGGGAGAAAACATCTCAGTGTGCAAAGAGAGGTTTGATCGCATTTGGAAAACATTCAATTCAGAGTGTGCACAGACCATTATGGCTCACTGGCTTGTGTTCAGCTGCTGCTCTGGCACCTCTTGCCCCCAGAAGCAGAGCAAACACCCGAGCGGTGACCGCATTGGACTGGTTCAAGCATAAAAGGACATACGCGAAGAGCGGTAGCATGTTATGCTTCGCGGGCGGCGGTTTGAAGCACCCCGGCCAAGAAACATACGAGGCTGACGTACTGGTTTTTGAAGAGCGAAGGGTCTATAAAGGCCTTGCGTCGTCGTCGGAGGCTAATTAGATGTCAAGAACGGGAAGATGATTCCCTAGGAGACCGTGAACCACGCAGCGCCTTGGTGCAGATGGATTAAAGGGCGAATAATCCTCGACCGGGACTGGTCTGGCAAGAGCGCTCATCGCCAACAAGCTCAAATTTTGTGAAAGTTTAGGATCAAGCAAGCCATGGGCGGTACCCTGGAGCCATCCCAAACAGTTTGGTGAAAATCTGCTCATAGCATTAGTCATCATGCTAACTAGTGGACTGAGGACGCAAGAGGTTGAAAGTGTCTTCTGTTGAGAGCAGAAGGTTCAAAATTCGTTCGAGTTGATCTCTTTTTTGTTGTTGTTGTTAGCAAAGAACGTTGAGCTACACCAAAGACATCTCAATTTCTTCGAAATATGTTTTGATCTTTCGCTAAGAAATTAAGACAGGACACGGGAGGTAGCCAATTTTTCTGCTTGTGCTACTAATAAGAACTACCTGCATTGGGGTTCGGTGCTTTTGTTCAGCAAGTAGACAAATAAATGTTTGGAGAGAATCCATGATCTAAACCCAAACACACCTTCAACATTACACTGGAAATCTGTGCAGAGCTTCAGTCGTCATGCTAACAAATGGATTCGGGAGGCAAGAGGTTTACAGTGACTCTGATACCAGTCGACTCATACCATGTTTGGGTCGATGCTTTTTTTCCCCTGAAAGTACCATACCCCGAGGCTAATCGATCATTTTTTACCTTCACCCCAATACCCCTCATTGGAAATTCGCTTCGAGCTCTCTCATGACTTTGCTAAGAAACGGAAGGACCGGAAAGCTTCTCAATAAATTCTTTCAATATGATTGCAGAAACACTTATTTCAAATCTGAAGAGTTCCTCTGAACTGGAAGCGAACACCGTTGCAAGAAAGGTAAACGACAAATTCGGATCTCCCAGGTTTCTGTCACTGGCACACTGTGGATTACTCAGTTCACCGAAAGGCCCAGGGTTTTTTTTTTTCCCCGCATCAAGGTAAAACAACACACTTCCCCTGCATTGAACACAAGGCAATGGATGATTTAGCCTCTCTGCGGTGGTTCTATGCTTAACAGCGCGTGGAGGAGATCTTGCAAATATGCAGCAAATTTCTCCGTTTCAGGATGTGTCACGGGGTGGGGAATGCCGGGAAATCGGCAAGATGGATGGATGGAGGGCGAGGCGGCCTGGTGTTGGCACAGGGGCCTTGCCTTTGAACTGCGGCTCTTTTGGCACAACTTAGCGGGCCAAAACGGTGCAGGCTGAGTTATGTGCAAGCGCCTGGATAACCACACCGCGCCTCAGCCGGATGATACTCTGCCAAGCACCTGACTGGCCGAGAGCTAACCGTATATCGCCATGAGTTATGACACTGGGGGATGGAAAAAATGCAGAAGATATAGGAAGTTTTAAGCGGGTTGCACACCTCGGGGGAGAAAACCACAATGTGCCTAGGCAATAAAATCTCACTCGTGTGGAGTGTGAGGAAATTCTGCTGTGTGAAGAGCCTTGGCGGAGAAGTTGCCACGTCAGTGCTCACGGGAAAGAGAGATGAGGTGAGGCTGACACCAGAGTCAGAAAAAAAAAAAGTGCCGGGGGGGAGGAGGGAAAAATAAGTGAATACAACATGTCCACAGAATTCCATGCACACGCCACATCTACTCAGAAAAATATTTTATTGAACCCACCACAAGAACAGCAGCACAGGCGAGAACACGTGCTACACGCTACATCTCCGTCACCCAGAAGCAAAGTTTTCGGTCGCCGCCGATCACGCAGAGCGGGAGCGTGCGGTGCCAGCTGAGGCCCGAGCCTACCGGCACTGAACCCACTGTCACCGGCTGGGTTCAAAAGAAAAAAGATTTTGTTGCCGATTCACAAAGGGCTAATATCGGCCGGGCGCGAGTACAAACCAATTCTAAAAGCTAATACAAATAAAATGTAGAAAAACTGTTTTTAAGGTGTAATCAAGTGTTAATGTGTCTTCAAGTGGTATCTTGATTTGGTCTGCCCGCATTTGGAGTTTGTTTTGGGAAAAATGAATAGAAAGCTGATGGATCCAAGACTGACCTGCGGGTGGCCGAGATGGTGGATCAGCAGCTGACTGCTGACCTTTCCGGGACATCCGGTGGTCGCGAAAAGGTTCTCTTGGGCTCGAGACCACCTGGCACCGGAAGACCAACACGTTTATTGGTGAAATGCATCTCCTCACTAATTAAAAGTTACATCCATGCTGTTGGAAAAAGTTCAAGGGTGGCAGCATATTTACCTGCTATTCATGCAAATAGGAGGAGCCCGTCGAGAAGGCTGACGTCCACAACCACCGGGTTGATATACAGTAGCTCCAAAATACAAAATACTTTGGTGCGTATTTTCACGCTGTTGCACCTTTCTTTTCAATTTACCCGCACTGAATCCAGCACATAAACAGGAGGTTACGACTCTCCGCCCAGCCCTTAAAAACAGGCTGTACTCGAAAGAATCAGCTGAGCAAACATAACAGCTGAATCCCGTAGGAAGCGTATTTAAAGAGTTATGTTCTTCCACTTGTGTTGTGCGTGAAATAAGTGGGACCGGGAGTTGCTGGTTCAGGGGAAAAACAGGAGGCGCGAGCAGGTACAAATATCTCCTTGGACATTTTTTGGGCAGCAAATGTTTCTTACTTGAATTGCTGGGCTTTATCTCGATGCGCCGGCCTTTTTTCCTGGGGGTAGCTGTGAACCGGTGGAAACAAAACCAAACCACAAGTTCCCTTGGTGTTGTCGGCAGTGGAGGTCGCGCGACGCAGTTAGCCCGGGCGTGACCTGGAACGGGTGATGTCCCAGATGAGCCAGTCGCTGCCCGCCACCGCGCCCACTTTGATGGTGTTGGCCAGGCACCAGTCGGCGGCGCTGAGTGGCGATTGGCCACAATCCAGCGACAAGATGGCCTGCTGGCTCACCAGGTCGTAGAAGCGGATGGTGCCTTTCTTCTCCGCCACCATCAGCTGAGAGCCACAACACAGACCTCAGAGTCACTACAGAGGACGGCAACTCACGAGCTCCTGAAATACGCAAAACCGCTTCTTCTATATCCATGTGTCGTCACAATCAGACAAATGCTTGTGATGAGCTGTCCAATGTGCATGAAAGGCTTAACGGCGCCTACCTTGAAGACTTCCTCCGGGTGCCAGCACACACTGATACCAGGAGAGCGGAGTCTGAAAATGGCGCTCTCATTTCCATCCAGGTCCCACACCCTGCGAGAAATCACAACGTCACCTAATTTTGCGCCGGTGGAAATGCATTGTCCCAAACATTTTAGTGGGCTGCTGCATGATCTAATCATAACCTTTAACACGGTCACCGTTGGAAGGTTGTGTTGTGTTTTTCACAATACAAACTGCAACACTTCTTTAAAAGCATTTAATCATGTTGATTACAAATCTTTTCACATTTGCAACATCATGTTTTAAAGTTAAACAATAGACACCTTTGTTTTAGCTTGAACTGGTTAAAGCATGTTTGATAAACAAGTTGATTTTTTCTGTATGTGGTCCTCAGAGAGAGGGGAGAAAAAAGAAAAAAAAAAAAACAAAACGTTGGACTTCCTTGCTATAATGGTTCAAAAGCAAGCCAAAATCTTTTGCTCTGGATACGGGCACTCCCATTTTATGGCACTGATGACACTTGGAAGCGCTGCAGCCATTTGGACGTCGAGCGCCGTTATGGACTTGATGACTTTACTGCAGAACAAGTTACTTTTACAGTTGGAAAATGACAATCACAAAGGTGTGGGGGGGGGGGTTGTGACAGCAATAGCAGCTAAGAACCACACGCGTGCACAAAAAGCGACGTCACAAAGGACTTAGAAAGGAGGAGTGCTGTGGTTCCGAGGGACATGGATCTTTGGTTAACCACCTCGGAATAAGGAAAGGTGGAGAGGAGGGCAAATTGGGGGGGGGGGGGGCACAGGGGAACTGGTGGAGGGAACTGGTGGAGGTCACTTCGCACGGGACCTCCCAGGTCAGCCCCTTTGCGGATATGCCCCATTTCATGCCGAGGCCGGTCACTAAATACTTCAGTTTTATCCCCCAGCAAGAATATTCCTGGATGCCCCCCCCACCCCCAACACACACACACACACACACACACACACACACACACACACACACACACACACAGGACCACAGGAGCAAAACAATGACTTGGCCTGATTTTCGCAGAGCGCCAGCCAAGGAGAAGCACCGTTGCACACTGCTCGACCGGCGCCAGAGTGCGGTCCACCGCGCTACCCTTCAAACGGGGCTCCGTGGACAAACATGAACAGCGAGAAGGGGAAAAAAAAAAAAAAACCTAGAAGACACATGACACCGCTGACCTGCTGAACGCTACATCGCTCAGAACGCTCCAAAGGACATCTGAGGTCGGAGCAAGAAAACATGGAAATGTACTACATACCAAAGAGAAACTATGAGCAGTCCTCACAACAAAGTTGGCAGATTAATCACAATGAACCTAAAGTGCACACGAGTGGAAGTGAACTTCATTGAAGCGTCTGTGACCTGTTTTGAAGAACGCCGCCAAACAATTGTGCAAAAAGTACTGAAGCGGTGAACACCCCAACATCTGGGTTTTAACCACATGCAGGCACCGTGATTAAAAAAAATTGTCAACAAAAATCCAATTTGTCCAATTAAAGTAACTTGGCAGTGAATCTTTTTTTTAAAAATATGGATTCAAACTGTTCAGAGTGCTGAAATGTGTCATGTTATTGGGCCACTTGAGTGGGCTGACGTGTCCAAAAACATCAGCGGATGTGGTTGAAGTGCCTTGGAAGAGGAGAAAAGTGGCTCAGAGTTGCACCGTGCTGCAGTAGTAGCAGCAGCAGCAGCAGCAGCAGCAGCAGGTGCCTGTCAGCTGTTGACAGTGAACCCAGTCACCTCAGAATGCCAGCCGGAACATGTCATTCCCCCTTTTGCTCTCGGGATGGCGCTTTGTCCCACCGACTGCTTGTCAGGGCGGCATGCAGCAAGTATAAAGTCTCAAGAGGAGGAGGACGACGTGAGAGTCTGAGTTCCCAGAGCTGCTGGGGCTTGGCGATGATAAACCGCGATCGCATTTCAAAAAAGTCATATGTGCCATGCAAACGCCGCCGTCATTTCCTCAGCTCGCGGAACATGTTTGAGCTAGCACGGAAACGCTCGACAAAAAAGTGCATTTCTCTATTGTACATTTGTAAATAAATTAGATTGGCATCAGTCTTGATTCTGCTGTTTTATTTTTGGGGGGGATTGCAAAAGCAGAAAATATTCGAGACCAAGTCACTGTTCTGATCGCCTTTTTGGTCAGAATTTTTTTGGGGGGTGGGCTGGGGGGCTCATTTTCTCCTGCTGATTACGAAAGAATGGAAAATGCAAGATATTTTTCTTCTTCTGGTGAAAGAAGAAGTGTCTTTTGGTAGGTTTAGTGCTCATATTGTCCCAGAACATGATATTCTGTGGTTCTTGACAGATGAATCAAAACGTTGTAAAACGGCTGGCAGTGATCAAGCGTCCTCGGGTCTCTTCAAAGGCACCACATAAATCCAAGCTATTATTCTCATGACCATTGTTTCTCTCATGGGGCGAAATCTCATGAGATGTGCTCAAGTCTCGCGCTATGACGACTTGAATTTTGGAGGCGCATTGACCAGAGAATTACGTTTCATCTCCATAATCGCTTCAGCTGTTTATAGCCGTTTGACTTTATGAGATGATAACTGTGACGAACACACTTCCCAAACAACTCGTAAAAGTAACATTTCACCAGAGAGAACGAGTCACAAATTGGTAGATTGGAAGGTTTAGTTTGACGTGGGGTGCAAAAAAAAAAAAAAAAAAAAAAGGCGCTTGATCCATCCCCCCCATGTGTCATGTGCTGCTCTGTGGTTTTGCACTCCGGCAGAGAGTGGATGGAAACATTAGCAGCAAAACAAGCAGCTAAAAAGCCGCTGACAAGCCCAAGAAAGGCCGTCATGGGGCCCTCTCTGGGGGCGTGTCCCGGAGGTGACCCTTGCTACTGCTCCTCGCATGCTCTTTTTTTTCTCTTTGTTTGTTTGCTTGTTTTTTGCTCATGACGCAGCTCGTCCTCAAAAAGAGGGGGATGGGGGCTTCTGCAGCTAATTGGGTTTCCATATTTAAGCAATTAGCTCGCAAAACAGCTCGGCGCTTAAGCACGGTCACAGCGGAGCGTGTTGTGCTTAGCGTCACGTTTCACTGTGGAAAAACGGCCGGGACTTTCTGAACCCGTAACAGAAGAAGAAGAACAGAACTCTAAACCAGAAGCCGGGGGCCCCAAACACACGTACTGCAGCGAACGCAGCGGAAAGAAAGACAGAAAGAAAAAAAAAAGAGAAAGAAAAGCCAGTCGGACCTGCAAGTGTGGTCATCGCTGACGGAAGCGATTTGTTTCCCTTCGGTGGGCTCAAACACCAAATGGTTAACGTAGCTGCTGTGGCCCTCCATCACCTCATGAAAAACACACAAGACAAGAAGTGTTAGCATACGGCATTCACGCAAACTTCGCATGGTCAGGTTGGACAACTTCCGCGGGGAATTTTCTGGCTTCTCCCACTGTGGCCAATGACGTCAGTGGAAACATTTTGAGATTCCAGGGAATTTTGAGGAAACTATCGCCTCCTTCGCTTCCCTCAATGCAGGTTTTTTCCCATTTCATAAGCCTGTCGGTAATAATAAGCTAATAATGAAATGCTATGGATGACAAACTTAAAAAATGCAATCGTTTGCAATTCACAAAAACGGTGCATCAATACACATAGACATAAGACGAAGTGGCGCGTATTCTTTATCCTCGGCAAAGAACAACTAATATTACTGCAGCTTATTGAGGAGCTGTGACCGTCTCTGTGAGTACCCCCGTACATCTATTCTGTATTACACTGCCCCCCGGTGGCCAAGGTACACACACACCAGAAGGAAGTGTGTTTTGAAAAAGTACAATATTACAAAGCTATTTTTCTTATTAAAAACCGCATTACCAAAATGGAACGGGTAAATGGCATTTCTTTTCCCTTAACTCGAGAAAGCCCGTTTTACGAAGAGTGTTTTGAGTACAACGGATTATTTCAAAGCATCACAAAAACTGTATGCCTGGAATGTCAAACAAAACACACAGCTGGCTTTAGGAAACCTCACTTTGCCGAACTGAACTACTCTCCATTCAATTATTTTATTCATTTATTTATTGATTGATTTTTCCTGCGTGTTAGCCGCCGTACCTTGACCTCGTGTCGATCCTGAAGGTCCGACGTCAACAGGCAGATTTTTCTGTCGGGGGCGGCCGTGCAAAATCTGCAAAGACACGGGAGCCGCCGTGTGAAAACGACACAAAAATAAGCAAAAGTGGGGAAGAGGAAGAAAAAAAAAAAAGAATCATGTCGCACCAAACATGTACTCTGTGCGTATGCATCTGTGTGTCTGTGGTAGAACGTTGGATAAGGCTGCAAGGGAGATTGTAATTGCGCACTAATGTAAACAGGGGAGAGAAACAAGAAGGATTCCCTCCTCCGCTTCCCTCTAATCAGGCCCTGCGTTATTTTTCACACAATTACACTGACTGGCTCGTGACAGGAAAAACACACACACACACACACGCGCGAACTGTGGGACTTGGCAAGGCGTGCCACGGCAAATCAGACAAGAGGATATTAGCGCGGGCCGCACATTAGGATGTTATGAGGAAGACTGTCAAAGCAAAGTGATGGATGTCAAACAATGGGACGAGCTCAAATAAAGCTGCTATTAGGCGGAGTGCCGCACCACACTCCAACCGACGCGCATAGGTCCAAATGTGGGAAAACTGGAGTCGGGTCTTCGGTGCCGTGAGCTTAAAAAAAGACCAATATTTTATTTCAATGACTCAACACCTGGTCATCTCCTCTTTGAGGCAAGGTGGATTCTTCGGAAAAACGCAACACAGGAAAAGAATGAATTCAATTTCCCCTCGGGATATGAAAACATATTCCAACATATTTAACGGGGAAGGCAAGTAAAAAAAAAAAAAATCTCTTTCCAATCATGCGTTGGACTGTATGCGCCACCACCGGTCCGTACACGTTGGCGGAAGACCAAAGACGCAGCAAAATCCGCCTGTCTTGATCCATCTCAGGAAGCGGCCAATTTGCCGCTTGCTGTCGGCTGAAAATGACATCAAGGCGAGGAAGGCCAATCAATGTCACATGACCAAAACCCAGAAAACAGGTGGGGGCACATATGACATCTGAATGTAAAGAAAATGTTGGACTTGACTTCCCCTTTCATGATTTACATTTCATCCGGTAATTGTGTATGTTTTTGAAGAGGTTATACATTCCATATTAATGGATTAAATACCAGGAAAAATACCCATCAAAAAAAAAAAACGAGAGAATAAGACACAGGCTCGGTTTACAAATATTAAATGATCAATATGTCAACCAAAAGTCAAAAGTGAGCTTTATTTTCTTTTGAACGCATCTCCCGCATTGGACGCCCTTGTGTATTGTTCCAAATGTGGCTGGCCTCTCGCAGCCTGCGCGAGGCCCCTGCCTGAGTGCTTTCCTGGCAGCTTACGCGCGACGATGGAACCCGAGCGCCGAGTCTTCCGCACAATAACACGCGCGCACGTCACAGCGCCTGGCCGCGGCTTGGCCTGCGGTGGTGCGAACGCCGCAGGGCCTCGCCGTTACGCAACGACGACATTTGGACAGCGGGACCGTCCCACCCGGCCGGGCAATTAGTGGAAGGGAAAGCGCGCTTGTCGAACAATTGCGTCGTTAGCGGCTCCTTGGCAGCAAGCGGTAGCTACTTCAACACAGCCGCTGCTTGTCCTGGATGGAATTATGAATGAATGAATAATCATGACCTGGACACGGCGAGGCTTGTCTGACATCTTATATGTGCGCTTACGTAACGCCGACAGAGACGTGAATGGCTTCAATACGCCATTCACGGAATATCCAGGGCTGCCTGCGTCTGACAATTACACATCTATTTAAAAACAACCACACAAGTTTGCCTCTCGCTAGCTGAATGCTAACGCACAATGCATGTGATCCTGTTAGTAACAGACCTATGGACACAAATGGCACATGAACACGTCGATGGACAACAGAGCAATTCTCAGAGGCATATATTCGTTCGCCCCTGCAAAGCACGACTTTTAGTGCAGTCGACTGAATCACAAGAGTACTGTAGCGGTGAAAGTCGTCTTCATTTGTGTCTTAATGACTATTGTATTGCGGTTAAGCCTTGCGTACCAAGAGTCGCAATGAATTACTCAGGATACAGCTCTTAATTCTTGACATTTCATTTCACCATGTTATTAAATGAAGTCAATATCACAGTGTGCTATTTTCCTGATTTTTAAAAAAAAAAAAAAAAAGTCAAAATCACAGTGTGCTATTTTCCTGATTTTAAAAAAAAAAAAAACAACAAGATTTTTGGTTTTTTTTTAGGGGGAGCTGTGGGTCATATTTGTAACTGCAAATTGCAGCATGACACCACAGCGATGGGGCGGCACTAGCCTGTATCGCAAACATTTGTAAGTTTGAGTCGAGAAAAGCCCCGGTACCTGATTGTGGGAATCCTGTCCAGGCGGGACTCCGGGCTCCAGGAAAGCGTGTCTACTCGTGAATCGTGATGGAACACACGGAGGACATTGAACTCGACTCCCTCCATGTTCATGTTTTCCTCCTGAGGGAATATTTCATGGTGAGGATTGGGGGAGGTGGGTACAAGTTTTTTTTCCCCCCACTCAGAATTCACTTGCATTAACATCCACAGAACAAAAACATTTTCATCATCCATCACTGGAAAACCTAAGATACTGTAAAAACAAATGCATAACATGGTTGTCAGTCAGAGATGTCAAATTAAGGAATGACACTGACGATGTAAGCCAATGTACAACTTTGAATAGGCTCCGGAAACTTGATCAGATTAACCACATTCTGTAAATATCTTTAGGGAAATCACAGAAATGTGTTAATACTATAAAGAGAAGATGTCCAATGCCTCACCTGGAAGAGGCAGGTGCCCACCACCACGTACTGGTTGCAGCCGTAGGCCAGCAGTGAGGCGGGCGTGCCTGACGTGAAGGGGCTAAACTCCACTACGTGAACGTAGTCATCACACGGCACTGTGTAGGTGGGACCCCGACTGGCGTCGTCCCCTGCGCCAAGTGTCCTGGCAACGCTCATCTTGGAACACTGTCACTGGAAGGAATCATTTAAAAATACAATTCAATGAATTCATTTTATATTCTGCTTCTCCTAAAATAAGAATAATCTTTGTTATCATCAACATAATTTGGCAGGTTGATGAAGAATAAGACTTGCTCATCATTGGACTATAATGTCAATACATTTCAAAAATGAAAACAAATTAAACTTGAAAGATTCAACAAATCCGGAGCCTCAGAAATGAGAGGCAACATTTCGTTCCAAATACGTCGTGTCTCTCGACGCCATTTTGTGTGTCCATTAACATTACTGTAAATACATTTCCATTTTTAAGACTTTATGTCGTCATATATCAATTCATTGGGGAGCATAACATAAGATGTGTGCGGAAAATTCAGCCTTTTCACCATTGGCGTTAACAAATGACCTACATCGCAAAATTACAAACAGCTCGGCTAATAGACACGACGGTGAACCTTAAACGACATTTTAATTCAGTTAGTTATAGGAGTGAAAACACGTGGCACAAGGAGCAGCTCACAACGACTTTAACGTTTGGTCCAACAACTTGAAAACCTCATTTTATATACTTATTTTGAGTGGAAAAGGCTCGCATTCGACCGAATACAAAGAGCAGAGAAGAGACGTACTCATGTGTCACCTTTTTACTTTCAGGCGGTTCCCGTCGAGTCAAACGCAGCGCGGTTGGGGGCTGTCTTCGACCGTTTTCCGGGTTCTACTCGGAATGGACCACTGTGGACGAAACTCGGGGGGAACGCTTCTGGAACAAATAAATTAAAGACGTTGAAATGCAGATTCAGAAGTTGTCATTTTAGTTTATATTACCTATTAAACTAATTTCCACATGTTTTAAGGTGTAACATATGTTAATAATTAAACGTTAGACGAAAAGCGAGATGCCAAAACATCTATTGCAAGTTGATTGGTTCGGAGGCACAGACGTCATCAGTGATTTAAAATTTTAAATCAGCTACTTTGTGGATGTCGAAGGTGCTTTAGAGTTTGAATTGACCAGGTTAGTAGCATACGATAAAAATTATATATATATATATATATATATATATATATATATATATATATATATATATATATATATATATATATATATATATATATATATATATATATATATATATATATATATATATATATATATATATATATATATATATATATATATATATATATATATATATATATATATATATATATATATATATATATATATATATATATATATATATATATATATATATATATATATATATATATATATATATATATATATATATATATATATATATATATATATATATATATATATATATATATATATATATATATATATATATATATATATATATATATATATATATATATATATATATATATATATATATATATATATATATATATATATATATATATATATATATATATATATATATATATATATATATATATATATATATATATATATATATATATATATATATATATATATATATATATATATATATATATATATATATATATATATATATATATATATATATATATATATATATATATATATATATATATATATATATATATATATATATATATATATATATATATATATATATATATATATATATATATATATATATATATATATATATATATATATATATATATATATATATATATATATATATATATATATATATATATATATATATATATATATATATATATATATATATATATATATATATATATATATATATATATATATATATATATATATATATATATATATATATATATATATATATATATATATATATATATATATATATATATATATATATATATATATATATATATATATATATATATATATATATATATATATATATATATATATATATATATATATATATATATATATATATATATATATATATATATATATATATATATATATATATATATATATATATATATATATATATATATATATATATATATATATATATATATATATATATATATATATATATATATATATATATATATATATATATATATATATATATATATATATATATATATATATATATATATATATATATATATATATATATATATATATATATATATATATATATATATATATATATATATATATATATATATATATATATATATATATATATATATATATATATATATATATATATATATATATATATATATATATATATATATATATATATATATATATATATATATATATATATATATATATATATATATATATATATATATATATATATATATATATATATATATATATATATATATATATATATATATATATATATATATATATATATATATATATATATATATATTATACCTCTGTGTGTGTGTGTGTGTGCGTGTGTGTGTGTGTGTGTGTGTGTGTGTGTTGACAATAATATGATGTGCTTTAGGTGAGTTGTGAGTCAACTCACAACTGACGAGATACCTATTTAGCTGTTTCGTTTGTAACGTGGTTATTAATGCATCACAAATTAGTGACTGCTCACATGACACTCGTATAACATATCAACTTTATGTCTCATTGCAGGGAACAATGCAGGATATAGGAGAGCGTCTGAAGCAGATGGTGAGAATTTTTAGGCGAGAGAGCCACCACTTGCTAGAATCTGAGAGAACGACTGTGTACGGGGCTGACGCCATGCTGATGGTGCTGCAGCTGGTCATGGCCCAAGTCAATAAGCAGGTGAGTTCAAACCACTTGGCCCTAAATGTGAATGGCCCTCCTGGGACTAATAAAGTGATCTATACTCAGAATGCGTGTGCGTGTCAGAGCTGCGATTTAATCCTGAATGCTCTCCCAGTCGTGAATGCGTCCGCTCATTGACAGCGTGCCGGCGTTGATGTGATGCCTCGAGCTGACTGTCATCACATTTGCACGTGACCCCGTTCTGGCAGCGACCCGAAAAACTGATGAAAGGGCAGCTCTCGCCATTTTCTCTCTCGGCGACAGCAAGGCGGCGAGTTCCAAGCGGCCCTGGGCGACGTCCTGCTGGCATGGAAGCACTTGCTGCTGGACAAACTTGGCCTCCGGCCCTCGGACGACGAGGTCGCGCCTGAGCAGGGATGTGATGTCATCCTGGAAGCGTACGAGGCCTTCCTGAAGCGCTCCAACGCCGTGGATCTGGTCCACGTCCTCACCATGTGCCGGCAGCTCGGAGACCACTCGGACCCCCCCGGGGATATTGTCAACCCTGTGAGTCAAACACCAGCACCTGGCGCGCCGCTGTGTGTTTGAAGGCATGTCGCAGTGTCTTTCTGGGGTATTTTCTTTTTTTGAGCCGGAGAGGAGGCTTCGATCGGAATCTGCCGATCTTAAATGATTGTGACGTATCATCACATTAAGCCAACATCCTGCATTAATTGTCATATGTTCTTGAAGTGAAAATAAAAATGTTCATGTTTTCTCCTCACCCCCCAAAAAAGGTCGAGCTATACGAGTTCCTAGCAGACAGCACGGAAGTGTCGGCCGCCCCGTCAACACCACCCGCTAAATCCCGAGCGTGCAACTGGCAGGTCAAATCTGCGGTGAGAAGCGTCTTCTGCTCCTACCTGAGCTTGCTGGTCAACGCCAAGGACGACCTGGCCTTGGCGCGGACTCTGGATGTCCCCAGCCGGGCGCTCGGACGCCAGACGTTCACCGACGTGAGACATGCGGCAGGCCGGACTGGCATGTCACTGTTTTTGGTAAGCCAGCAAAGTCGTCGCTGAATATGGTGCTCAAAAAAGGCAATTTTTCTTTTTCAATCAAGGACAGTAATATATATGTATAAATTAAAAACAAGTAAACATCACTAATCAGCAAAAGGAAATGAGGGGAAAAGTAATGAAATGACCAAATATATGAGAGTGGACCTCCACATATTTGTGGTTTGGCATTTATGAATTTACCCGTTTGTGGATTTTTTTTTTCTCCGTAATCTACCCATTACATTTTTTTGAAGCCAAACCCCAATTTATTTGTGTTTTATTTTGTTGATGTTGTCCAATGCAATCGTGGGCTTCCCCCCGCTGCCCCCCCCCCACATTGTTTTTTTTCCTTTTTTTTTTCTTACAAGTGAGTGTCTATTGATGGATTTTTCCATTTGGGATCTCTCCCTACCCCCAACGAATAGCAGAATAAAACAATTAAGCAGAGGTTTCCACGAAAAATGAATTTATGAGTGCTGAACCACAAATATGCGGGTGGCCACTTAAATTGGGAGAAAAAAAACCCCCGTTGCAATGCTCGTTTGGTATTAGCAGTAAAAAAAGCAAATGCCAGAGACGTGGCGGATCAACACTTGTGTTCAATAATGGAACTGGAATTTGCTATTTTTGAACATCAAGAAAAAAAAAACGATTTGAAATCGGGAAGAGGAGATCATATTTTAAGGCCAACCTGACTTGGACATGCCATTCGAAAGTTTTCCTCCCCCGACATTGGCAGGCGGTGACGTCGTTCGTGAGGGCCATTCAGCTAGGCGGGAAGGGTTATGCGCCGGCACCTTCGGACCCGCTCAGGAAGCACATCAAGGGCCTTTCCGCCTACGTCCGCTTCCTGGACCACCTGGAGGACATCCTGGGAGAGACGGCGGATCCCAGGTACCAAATGTTTTTTGGAAACAACACCTGCTTGGCAACAAGAAAAACACACTGGAATCACTTGGTCATAAACTGCCGCCTTGCACAACAGCACACAATGTGTGTGTGTGTGTGTGTGTGTGTGTGTGTGTGTGTGTGTGTGTGTGTGTGTGTATATATATATATGGCAGAGCTTATCGGGAATGATTTAGCCTGCAGATCATGTGAGGGGCAGACAGTTCGGAGCAAAACATCGGGGCTCTCGGTTCACGAGACACGGATGAACTCGGACAGTCAGCAACCGTGCGTCATAACGTCTTCCGCTGACAGTTCACGGCCCCTCCATAGGGTAAAAGTGCTTGCCAAGATGTAACCTTGGTCAAATGAACGGAAGACGATCCTTTCCCTCCAAGTACTTGTACGGTCTGACAAATGGGGGATTTACTGGAGGGGAGCACTTCAACCGGATGGGAGCTGGACTCGCTTCAAGTTGGCGTACGCTTGGCCTGGATCTTGACTGTTCTTTGACATGGTTTTGGGTTTTGGGGTTGGACTTGAATCTTCGATTGTTGCATTTGCCGGCCATCGTGTGGACTATCTTGCCATCTCCTTGCAGCGTGTGCGGCTCCAAGTTGGTGTGTGCCATCCGGGGAGCTCTGGTGAAGGGTTGTGACTCCAAAGACGTCTGCTCCGCCGCACAGGAGACAGCAAAGCAGCTGGAGGAGGAAATCTGCAAACTGCACCGAGTTCAGAAAGACAGCGCTCACGCAGCCGGGACCGGGATCAGCCCCGCCAGGGTAACTCCTCCCACTTAGCCCTTTTCATCAACCTCGGCTCTTGAGTGGGATCTGTTTGCCTCCATTTTTTTTCTCTCAACTTGTTCTTGACCTGCCTGGGTCTCAAAACATGTTGGCCTTGGGTTTTGGCTTGGGTCCCGGGACACTCGGGTTGCTGTTTCTTTCCTGGGTCTCGACTGATTATGTGGGGTGCTTGGGTCCTTCTTCGTGACTGCTTCTCGGGCTTGTGTTGAACAAGGTTCCTGACTTCCATTTTGACGCGTTCCAGACGTGCTTCTTGACTTTGTTCTGTACGTGGTTACGGACGGGTTGTGGGGTGCTTGGGTCCGAACTCAGCTGATGACTTCTTCGTGACTGCTTCTCGGGCTTGTGCTGAACAAGGTTCCTGACTTCGATTTTGACGGGTTCCAGACGTGCTTCTTGACTTTGTTCTGTACGTGGTTACGGACGGGGATGTTGACCGGTGAATGCGGTTCTTCACGTGTTCGTGACTTGATTTTTGAAACGGACTCCGAGCGGTTCTTGACCGCATCCGTCCGTCCGCCCGCAGCCGAAGGCGCACGCGGTGAATCGCGCCACGGCGTACGGCGGCCGAGAATCAGTCAAGGTACTGCTCGCTCTGCTGGACGAAGAAGCAGCGGCGCAGCCGTGCGCTAAAAAGGACGAAATCCCCGTAAGGCGGCGATTCGAGCCACCTCGAATTGAATCGGACGGCTTGGCCTCCTGTCATTGCTCCCTGGCGCTTCCTTACTATGGCGTCGCCCGTGTAACTTCCAAGTTCCCATCTTAGCATTTGCACAGCTGCCTTTGTGCTTCCCACCGTCCGCCGGCATCCGAGCACCTACTGGGGGGGGTTGAGGGGGGTCCAAAGAGCCCGCCAATACTCACCGCAAAACTGAGAAGCCTCCTGTCATTGCTCCCTGGCGCTTCCTTACTATGGCGTCGCCCGTGTAACTTCCAAGTTCCCATCTTAGCATTTGCACAGCTGCCTTTGTGCTTCCCACCGTCCGCCGGCATCCGAGCACCTACTGGGGGGGGTTGAGGGGGGTCCAAAGAGCCCGCCAATACTCACCGCAAAACTGAGAAGTGCTGAGGATCTGACATCCGATCTCTTCCTTCCCCCGAGCCGATGTTGTTGCCTCTTGTCGCGGCGCACTTGTCGCCTGCTAATTATAGTCTGTCACATGAGAACACTTTGTGAATACGTTGCCATCGCGGAAACAGGAAAAAACAAAAACTGCGTGACAACTTTGCTGTATTTTTTTACGCCTTTTGAGAAAGCGTCCCATTTGCTAATTGAAATCACATGGGCCAGCGCCACTGATGATGAAGGCCCTGGGCAGATTTGCTGACAGAGACGCTGAAATCTGATTGAACACCCCCCCCAAAAAAAAGAATGTAACATTAGAACATTAGGCCAGTAGAAATGCTCCCAAATGAAGAGACTCGACAAAAAAAAGAATGTAACATCCACATGCACTCTAAGCAGTGAGGCCAGTAGAAATGCTCCCAAATGAAGAGACTCGACTTTAGCCCGCTTCCAACAGTTTGACATCCACTTGACAGCCGTGTATTGGAACCATATTGTTGCAGGCGGACCGAGTTTTGGTTTCAGGACCATCCACGCGGCCGTGTGAACCGCGGAACAAGATGGGACCGCGAGCCATCCGATCCCAGTTTGCCTGCACCTACCGGAAGGAGGAAGAACCGCCCCTCAATCGCGTTCTGCACTTCCCGAGCTCGAGCCAAGTTCCCACCTGCGTGCATCCGGCACCCAAAGCCAAAAGCGGCGCCGCGCCCGCAGGTAAATGCCTCGCATTTTGCCACACCCCTTTATGACATCAGCCGCATCTTTACCAACCCGATGTTTTCGTTAAGCCGAACCTCCCGAGGTCCTCCCCGTGCCGGTTCCCGGGAGCGGGAACGCCAACCCGCTCCGAGCTCCAGCTTCGGACCGCGCGCTGAAGAAGACGGCAAAGAAGAGGAAGCGGGCGGACGCGGGAAGTGACAACGAACCACCGGAGAAGAAGAAGCAGACGGTGAAATCGAGTGTAAAAAGCAGCACCGCCAAAAAGAAGAAAACGATACCGGGACAGGCGACACTGACCAGCTTCTTCAGAGTCTGACCGGGCTCCTTTTTGAGGATTTTGTTTGAAGATCTTGTGGCAAAACGTCACCTTAGGCAAGACTTGCTTTGGCAGCTCAGGCCGCCGCGCACGAAAGGTCGAGAGACACTTGTGGGGGCTTCAGGTTGGCACCTAATCTGTAAAATTCAGGGCCGAGATTCTCCGTTTGAGGCGTGTGAGGTTTATCGACGTTTTGACTGCAAAAAAAGGAGCATTTGGGGGGACTGAGTCCCCCCCCCATTTTGTGTTGCCTTTTTTTGTGGTGGAAGCAGGAGCTCAAATGAGCCTTATTTTGAAATTCAGAGCCAGAAGGGTCGAGTTTAAGATCCAAACACTTTCTGCACGCCACCGGTGGCAACACACAGATAGAAATGAGACTTTATTATTATTATTTGATTACTTTTTTTTGGGGGGGTACCACTTGCTGCTTCTGAGGCCATTTTGGGTGATTTCGTGTTCCTTTGTTGTGGGGGCAAAGTCAATGCGGAGAGCCTCGTTTTGAAAGGATGACTCCACACTGCTTTTATGTTCCTTTGATGTCAGGGGGGCAAAGTCAATCCGGAGAGCCTCGTTTTGAAAGGATGACTCCACACTGTCAAGATGTTGCACAGTTCATTTTCAATAAAGTTTTATTTGCTTTTACACACTTGTTGTCCGAACGCATTCTCATCCAAGAAGACGGCCCGTGTTTATGTCCCTCCCCAGCAGGGCCGGTACACTCGTCCGATCATACAGCGCAACACTGCACGGAGAGAAAACACACACACACACACACACACACACACACACACATACAGAAGAATTGGGCTACGTTGCGTGTAAGGTTTACGGATTGTTGGGAGTGCATTGACGGGTACTCACCGTCGATGTCGGTGTCGCGGCGGTCGATTTTCTCCGCAAGTGGATTTTCCCTCCAGCGAGGCTCGTCCAACACAGGAAGTCGCTGGTTGAGAGCGGGAAAACGCGATCCTCTCCGCCTCGTGCCCTGAAGGATAAACAAAAAAAAAATGTGGAGCTTTTATCTTTTGTGAGAACGTTCTTACACAGCAAATTCATCAAGGTGAGGAATGGTACAGAATAAAAGACTGATTGATGAGAAAAAAGGATGGCATTCTTTTCTGTCACCTACCGCCCACAGGAGCACTTTTGGGCTTCCGTCTTCATCCGCGACGTCCCACATCCAGTTCGTCCGGAGGGCGGCGGCGGCGGCGCTGTCGTCCCCCACGGGTGCGCTCAGCTCATCCTTGTCGGCGGTGCCGGCGACCGATCGTCCGCTGAGGTTGGAGAGGAGCAGCAGGGCCAAAACCGCGTGACGGACGCGGGACATGTTGTCGCTTGGACGACGAAGCGCTCGCTTGGCCCCCGATGCGGCTCGGCCGGGTTTTTAACGGCCCGCGGCCGAGGATCGTCACGGCTCCCGATGAGATGACGGGCGGAAGGTCGCCCGAAAGCGGCGGACCTCCATTGATGGGCTGCCGAATGGAGTCATTTTGTCCCCTTTGTGCGGTTGTAATAGGTGTCAGGGGGGCAGGTGAGAGGTGGGCGCTTCATTATGGAGCGCAAAGATGTGAATGCCTCACCAACCAGCAGGCCTTCTTCCGCACGGCGGTCGCGCCGAAGCGCGGATAACGAACGCCGCCCACTCGGATGTTTCGAGGTCAAGCCTCCCGCCGTTGCACCCTACCTGTGCCCCTTTTTTTTTTTTTTTCTCCGCAAGATTTCAGCCGCGGCCCTGACAGGCGGGCCAGCGGAGTCTCGAACCCGAGAGTTGCTACTTCACGGTCGCTCTCCCCAAAGCCCGGGATGTTTCAGTTCTCGGTGCAAAGAGCTCCACCGACCCAAGCCGCGTTTGTTCCTCGAGCGCCAAGAATATTTCAATCGGTTCTGACGACAGTTCCCCCAAGTCCACATCCATTGCGGTTCTCCAAACGTTCCTAGAAAAGCTCATCTGTTCACATTTTCATCAATCACGGCAAACCTCACAAGTGTGACATCAGCACCGCTTCATCGCCGCCAGTCGTCTTCTTGTGTTTTTTTTTTTCGCGAGAGAGCGCAGCGCGCCGTAGGTACGTGTTGCGGTTTCTTGTGGGTTGCCCCCGAGAAGAGCCCCCGCGCTTTCCTGGAAACAATGCAGCTGATGAGGAGCTCTCCAAGGAAAACAAGGATCTGACATCATGGCTTCTTCAAGCCCACAGCTGAGCCAACACCGGGGAGCCTCAGTGAATTTCCACTGCCTCCTGACACTTAAAAAACGGGACCATCTCTCGGCCCCCCCCTTCAAAAAGTCAGATCTCTGTAATCATGCCACCAGGTTATGCTGAGTTCTTCCTCGGCTGTCCGTTGATGTTGGGGGGCAAATGTTCCAAGCTTGCAGACTACCACGGGGGCAGAAGGTCCACATCATTGATTCCCGGGATGAAATAACACCCAGGATGGCGGCAGGAAAGAAGAAGTGTGCGTGAATGGGGGGAGGGGAGGGGAGGGGA